CCCCAAAACCCCAAAACCCCAAAACCCCAAAACCCCAAAACCCCATTAGCTTAAGTATTGATCAATTATATGATAGTAACAATTATTAGTTAAAAAATCAAAAATAGAATAAATTTTGACAACGAAAACGACAGAATGTTAGTTGATTACTCTAAATGTAAATTATGCTCCTGCAATAGTGGATATCCAGCTTAATACGTGTGTGCATTCTAAGACACATGCAGAGGACTTCCATTGTACTGTGAAGAGGAAAATTGTTCTGACCAACATAATCATAAAATTTAAAAGATAACAACTGCGATGCAAAATATCCTAAATGAATAGTGGTAATTTGGAGAAAATGTTTCAACTTATAAAACGAATTTCATTGATCGTTCAGCCAATTATCTTCCATTGATAAACTACTACTCTGTATCCTAGAAAGAGTTGGAAATTTAGAATAGTCCTTAAGAAAATTAAGAAAAAAAATATCAATACCTAGATTAAACGATAACAATAACAAGCGGTCTTCATACAAATGTAATGAAATTTATTAATAAGTTAGAAGATCTACAATCAGAATACAAGTTGGAGGAAATGAATTAAATATGCAAAGAAGAAGGAAGTAAGCTCAGATAGATCTATGATTAAATATCCACACTTGGCCCAATGGATGAGTAATTGCTTTGGAATATCTATGAGGAACCTATACTATCAGACTATGTGAATCCCGAACTAATGTCAAAGTTCTCTCCTTAGAACTGGAACACATACCATGGATTGAAAATTAAAGCTCTGAAATCCAAACTTGAAAAGTAGGAATAAGGATTCTAAGAATTTAAAATGTAAGTTTTTGCTAAACTCCAGATCTGAATGTGTAATGTATACATTTTAAATTGATCAAAAATAAAATAAACATTGGTCAATTATAGTAATCATTATTAAACTTTATATTTCAATAAAAAATCTTCTAATATTTATATTTTCTGACATAATATTTATTGAACATGAACAAATTTTTACTAAATGCCAAAGTTAGCTTAAAATTGGGGGTTTTGGGGTTTTGGGGTTTTGGGG